TGTTCCTAGTAGCGATGCACTTGTTACTACTAGCTTCTTGTAACTACGTGTTTCTGGGGATTGTTCTTTTCTTTCAACACGAACTGCTATATTATTTGTATTGCCGTACCTATTGGTGGCTCTTCCCGCCACTGACTTGATGTTGATGAATGCTTTTGCGGTGCCTTGACACATTTGCTGTGTTCGACTCCGTCCCTGCTTTCCTTGTTTTTTCCCACACAAGCTTCTTAGTTTGCCGGTTCTTGTTGACTGTTGCTTGACCTTCACTAAGTTTTGGGTGTAAAGACTTGTAAAGACACTGCATCCAAACCACTGGGAAGCACCAACAGCCGTTCGGACTGAATGTCGATGCTCTGACGAATGAGAGGTGAGCTAGTAAAATTGGTGTACAACTGATTTAACTGTTCACAATAGCTCTCAGTAGTGGTCAGGGTGCAAGAAAGGTTCGCTTACATTGGCTGTATGAACCCTAGCTGCTATCGTTTCAGTTCAGATCATATCCTTCGATGGCAAATGCGTCAGCACATACACGCACAGAACTACACAAAGGTTCTAGAGCCTATTATTATGATACTTGAACAATTCTGGTACGAAAGCCGCTGCTAGTTGCAGCATGTTGCAGCCATTGAACCTCGCATGACACGGCTTTCCGAGCTGCAGGCATTGATCTCTTCGATCACTGCAGCCGGAAGCACACTTACTCATCGAGCACCGAAGAAAAGGAAACGTGCAAAGTTGACTGAAACTCTGCGAGAAGAGGAGCCAGAGGAGTCTCGAGTTCAAAAGAGGGAGGCTGTGCGAGGTGGTATACTTGTTGTAGACACTTGTTGTCCGGTCTTGTGGAAGTGTAAGATGATTGGCAAAAAGTAAACACCTGCAGGACCACGCTGAGATGAAGGCAGAACATGCCTCCGCGCTTGTGCATGAGACAGCAAAGGAGCTGTCATCCCTGGCTCCTGACGAAGGGCGCCTGTTGGCACGACTCTTTGACACAGCGTCTTGGGCAAGAGAGATCTGGGAGAATCACTCTGCCTGGATCGTACAGGGAGTATAGCTGAGGTCATGAAGAAGGACCCACATCCTGACCAACGAGAAGCGAAAGCTTTGCAACTTCTTTGTGAGACTTTTGATTTGCACATTGTCAAAGCTTTCGCTTGGCATTAGACGGATTTTTACACTATGTGAGTTCAGGCCACAGAGCAGACACAGGGCAGACTAGTTTCAGAGCTCCACCGGTCTTAAAACCTTTTCATTTTACGTAACATCCACAGCGCTATCCGCAAATCGGCCAGACTTGCCATGAAACAAGAGCTTGGTAGCTGAAGAGTCTTGCTATCTGAGGACATGTTCTGAGAACTTTGCTCTTCGCTTCATGCGGGAAGTTCTCTTCAGAGCAGTTGGGCTCCAAACACCGAACCGGGACGTTGCACCTGACAATTGCCCTAGCTTGAGGAACATTTGTGTTCCTTGGCAGCCAAGGGGCCGTCTAACATACAGTATCACAGTGTTATCACTGGGAATGTTTCCTCCAACATGACAGTGTTTCACCAGATTTCAAGTGAGGATCGATTTGACTCTGAGCCGGGTTTGGACATGGAGGCACCATCCAAGAGTGGTTTTGGAGGATTCCTTTAATTGCTGCAACACAATACGTCTTGCATCGTCTTGCCTGTGCGGAAGGAGGCTTCTCCTGAAGAATCTGAGAAGATGATGCTTTGGCTGTGGTCTTTGCTCTCATTGCCACAGCCAGAAGATGCACAAAGAAGCAGGACAGTGCTGAGATATGCTCAGCACAAATGAGCACAAGCAAAGCAAACGGCATGCCTGGGACTTGTTTGGGTCGAATCCAACGAAACAGGCTGCAGCAGGCGTTGCGCAGCCTCCTACCTGCTTTGCGGCATCGGATGCTCAAGCAGATGGCCGGAAACTCTGAGATGGTAACCTCGGCAGGAAAACATGACTTGATTACCGTAGTTACTAAAAAACCTCCAACCTCATAGCGATGGCCTCCAACCTACTAGCGATGGCCTCTAACCTTGAGTCGGGCACGCCAGCCATAGATACAAGGAGCCAAAATGACTGTTTAAGCAACAAACAGCCAAAACATGTAGCTGTGCGTGTGTCGCTTTTTTTTTGCATTATTTTAACTTCTTATTTCCGCTTTATATTGGCAATGTTTTCTGCATGTTTTCCGCTTTATTTTCACTTTTTTCCTAGGAGCGTACAGCCAATATTGTTGACGGGTAAAAGTTCCCATAAGTGCAGAAGTGGTACCAGGAAACAAGAAAAAACACCAAAACAAATGCAAACACCAAGCAAATTGTGCTGCTTTTGCATTTTTTTTCGCACAACATATTTGATGGTTGGTCATGTATGGCTGCCATTGCTCAACACAACTCTAACCCACTAGCGATGGCCTCCCACCTAACATGCAAACATGTCTTGCATTGACTGACGGTTCTGGGAAAGCATCTCTATTCTGAGCTTAGCCCTGACGCGGAGCTGTCAGGCATCCCGTGCCTCCACGCTCTGGCGGGCGCTCCAAAGTGAGAGCATTGATGATGGAGCAGGGCTGTTTGCCTCTCTGTGTGAGGTTGGAACTGAAGGAACAAACTAATCTTGCTATATGTGTCTTATCAAACATGTCTCAATGTGCCTAGTTTTCAGAGCTTCTGTCTAGTGTCAGGTGCTGGATAGTGCTGATAGTCAGCAGGAGGGAAAGGAGCACCCTCGTGAAGGATGGGCCAAGTGTGAAGGGCGACTGCAAGCTAAGCCGCCAAGCCTAGCCACCCAGCCAAGCTGTTTCGTCGCGACAGTGCCATGACAGGACTTTTGAAGATGGAAGACGCGCTGAGAAGGATTCAGAACAAAGAATCTGAGCTTGGGAGCTGAGTTAACATGAGAGTTAGCATCATGCCGCTTCTTTGTGCAGACGAAACAGAAACCGGCACTGACTGTGTCTTTCCCCCAAGGCCTGGGCAGCATCCAGCAGACTCATGGACGGCAGTCGGTACACTCCTGGATCTAGACACATTGAATGTTGTTTGTCGCCAGGAGCAGCTTGGCAGCTTAGGTTATGTGGTACAAGCACTTGTGTTAAGTCGTCTGGTCTCGTAGAAAGTCGTCTGGATGTTGCGTTTCCATTGGGGTTAGATGCAAGATACCAATATAACTGGAAGAGCATTAGGTCAACAACATTGTTTGGATGCTGCGTTTCCATTGGGGTTAGACGCAAGATGTCACCCTCATTGGAAGATAAGCTTTGGAGTGTCAGTTCAACACCATTAATGTTTAAAGCTCGAGCAACCGTAACAAGCGGTTTGTCACCTTGACGTTGCCGGACCAGAGCAAATAGAAAAGATTCGGGTAGTCTCAGCATGCTGCATCTATGTTTAGGGGGTAATCTTCACGATAGTCCTAACCTTGCGTTCTGATTGGGGTTTGGTCACCAAAACGCTGCAAACTTGGACATAAAACTAGTTCTTTCCTGCGCAGGGGCAGTGAATTCTTGATGTATAGCAGTTTTGACAAACATACTTCCGTAGAGCGTTTACATTGTGTTTTAACATAAAGCGGGTGACTTTTCGTGAGCCGGGTGACTTTTGACTAATGCTGTGTTTCCATGCGGCCGGATGACTTTCTGCAAACCCGGGTGACTAAACCCCAGCGCTAGTATAGTTTGTACAAACCATGTCACTTTGTTTGAATGTTCGATACCATAAACTGCGAGGCACAGTGACGAAGTTCGTCTTCCGCCTATGGCCATGCAGACCTGGCTTGATTGGGCAGCGACCGAGTCTTGGGCCTTTGAGTCCTCAAAATTGGTGTCTTTTTGCACTTTTCGGGACTTGTCATCTTGTGCGTTTGCATTACGGAGACTGAACTATACGGTTTCAAACAAAAAACATATGTTCAGTTATTGCTTCCCTCACCAACTGCAAGAGGTTGAGAGCAACCTATGTATGAGTATGCGAGGATTGTTGGTTGCCAAGCGGGGACATTTCGAGATCATTCCAAATATTCCAAAGTTGCTGGCTTGCTGCTTTTGAAGCCACACTCCTTCAGACCCTTTAGAAGAAATTGGGCATGCTTTCCAGATTGTTTTCTACCGTTGTCTATGGCGGACTAATTATGGCAGGCTATAATAATATACTCATGATCTATGGGTTAAGATTTGGTTGACCAATTCACGTGCTTCTGCAAATGCCGCTGAGTATTTGCAGACCCAGCACTGCCAACTTCTTCAAAAGGTAGCCCTTTCGGCACAAGGGTTGCGGTGTTCCAAGACAGGCCCCACAAAGATTCAACAGGTTGCCAAAGGTGCTGAATGCTCCAAGCCCTTTCAAGCCACGTGCAACCCCGTGCCAGCCTGACAAGCTGCAGACACCACAAGAATCAACAAATCTGACGCAGCCAGCATTCGTGTATGATGCACCAGCTGCACACTGTGCAATCAGCGCTGGCACAGACGATGCACGACTTTGTGCAAACCGCGCGCATGGGACATACTGCATCGCTACTAGGAGCAAGGACGCTACTAGGGGCTCCTGGCCTTACTACTAGGATCAAGAAGCTACTAGTAACAAGGTGCATCGCTACTAGTAGCAAGGACGCTAGTACAGATCAGATTGCGTGCGGACCAAGCCGTGGAGGTGGCACAGACGTGCATGGGTCGCAGACGGCTCAGATGTTCCACCTAGAATCATCGCAGTTGCATGGGGGAACCTTCTCATAGACTTGAAACACATGTCTTTCTTTACATGTCCGAAACATGCTAGACTGCATGTAACTGACACAGTTGAGGTGACTAAAATGCATCCCAAGAACAAAAAGTTAACAAAATCATCGCAGTTACAGTGGCGCAAATTGTTGAGGTGACTTTTTTCAGAGTTGATGCGCGGAGTTCCATGGGGGAGAACATACCTGGAGGAAGTTGATGCAACTTTCGGCGCTGACAGTACTGGCAGACATTCCTTCCCCCCACAATGACAATTGAGCGTAATAAAGTGCCCTCTGCGCCATTTTGCGCTTCTGTAACTAGATGACTGCTACTATAACTGCTCTTTGATTCTTTGCTTGATCAGCCATTGAGGAGTCAGATCAGCCGTGCTATCCTGATCTCCTTGACTTCTCGTCTCAAGCACCTCCTGCTGATGGCTGCTTGACCACAATTGGTGAAGCAATTGAATTTGAACCGACAATTCTTTATTTGCTGAGCTGCTTTTGTCGCTTGACATGTCTAAGCCACGCAGCCATGCCTCTGCCCAGGAAATGGTGGCACACTTTTCTCGGAAACTCTAGATTCGATCGTTGAAGCCGGCACCGGTGAGGTGAAGGCGGACACGGTTCAGGACGCTGTAGCCTTGTTGATCGACATGCATTCGATGGACGTGTGACTCGTGTGACATTCGAGTCTTGCAATTTTGCATGAAATTCGAGTCTTTGTCGAGTACTTTTCTTGCTGAACATAAGAGCCTGCACGTTTTCAGGCAGATACTGTCGAGCCCAAGAAAACTGAGACCTGCGATTCTGCACCGATCTTTGAGAGCGAAGGGTCATCCAAAGAGGTCAGAGATGCCATCACCAAAGAGCGTTTCCAGCTATTGGCCCAAGAGTTGATGGAGCAAGTCACAGCAAGTGCTGACAGCAAGTGCTGACAGCAAGTGCCGACAGCAAGTGTTGACAGCAAGTGCCGACAGCAAGTGCCGACAGCAAAGCCTGGGCTTTCTGAGGCTCCGCCCAATTCTAACACGGGCCCAGTTGCTTGACCAGTGCTTCGGTTCAACATTCAAAAACCAAGAATTTGCTGCACAAGTGCGGATGTATGCAGGGTGGGCGGATCTGCACAACATCTATACTAATAATTGCCGTTTGGCTTACTTGCAAACTTGATATCAAGAGCTGCCCCTACTTGGTTGCGAGACCATTACAATTACAACAAGTTTCATCTCAACACTGCAGAACAGCATAATAGTGCAGAATTGCATGAGGAGATACGGATATACAAGGGTTGGCCGAAATCAGATCCGGTTCAGGTGAATGATAAGATAAGACTATGATTCTATGATAGGACTATATATATAAGACTGATAAGGCGTTTACAGTAGTTTCAATAGCCGGAGTGGCTTTCAAATCCCTTTGAAACAGGTCAGCCCAGCAGAAAAAAACTAGAATCTAGTTTCAGGGCAGGATGGGGTCCGTCCGAGAACATGAAAGGATTAACGCCTTTGCAAGCCTTTGCTGATGATTGCTCATGTGAGAATTTGGAATTATGCTGGAGTGGCTTTTCGCATCTATGATCTCTGTGGCGTGTGGATGGCCAGCACAACCAATAAAGGCCAGGCCTCTGAATGTTTCAAGATGTTTCAAGTCTTATGTAAGTCTCTGAACAACGACATGAGACACGAGTACACGCTTGAACCCACATAAGACATTAGATGACATTAGGATATATATGATGTGATATGATATGATATGTATGATGAGTTGGACAAATGAGTGAAACGTACAGCTTGCAAATTCTTCCCCTTTCATTTGACCGAGCTCGCGTGGCAGCAACGTCATCGAAAGCAACAGCTCCAAAGCCCGGGTGTGGCTTGGCAAAAGCTGGGTTCGCTAATGCGGTTGGACGTTAAGGCTTGGCGCTTCATTCAAATTGTAGGTAGTGGCGAACACTCTTCCACGTGCAAATCATGTTGGAGTGAGCGGTGAAGCCAAGAAATTCTTGCATGCCCCTCTCCAGAGCGGCACCTCTGGAGGTCTGAACACACCTTCAGTTCCTCGAAGTGCCTCATCTCGTCTCCAAAACCCAACCTGACAGTGAGCGATCTCTGAATTTGGCTTGAGCATGAGGTGCATTTCGCGAAAGTCAACGAAACGGAGGCTCTTAAAGGTGGCCTGCAGAAACTACTTCCATTGTGGAGTCCATCAAATATTTCTGATTTGATTGGTATGGGTGCCTCACCTGCAAGCAGGGGAGGCGATGTGGTTGAAGCATGATCAGGCAGATGTTGTATGAGTGCTGACCTCCAGATTTGAAGTGGCGTGTACTTGAACCTTGGACTGGTTGAACCTAGGTGCAGTCTACTACCGGCCGCCAAAAGCACGCCTTTTCGAACGCTTGGGTAACACCCTTTGGCCTGCAGACTCACAGGAAAGGGCACTGGTTCAGGACGCCAAGCATATTTTCTTTTGGGTTTGAAAGCACTCAGAATATCTTGATTCTTGTAAGCTGCAACACTGATAGTGGAAGTAACTGATAGTGGAAGTCCTTTCTGCACGAACTGCATGGCAATCTTGCTTTTGAGGACACCTTGATTGAGAGAGGAGCTGAGCTACGCGTGCATACAGAGCCAAAGCGCTACCCCACCTGTGAGCACTTGAGTCTGGAAGCCTGGTATAGCTGCATCAGTCACAGTGACGAGGACTACGTGGTCGTAGACAAGCCGTCAGGGGTGCCGTGTGCACCGCATGTGAGTAACGGACGTGCCTCGCCTGCAAGATGAGAATAGATGAGATGCTGTCCGTAGTGACCACCTAAATGGGTGGAGGAAGCTCTTGGGGAGTCAACAAAAATCATAGGTTTCTCGGATGGATTGCCCTACCAGATCTTTCAAAACATTGTATTATCAAAGTAACTACTGCTCTTGTTGCAGTAGTTGGACATTTCTTGCACAGTAGGGGGCCCCGGTAAGGAGCATGGAGCTGCAGTCATGAAATTTGTTCCACTTTATTCATTCATGGATAGCACCAAGGAGAGTGGCTCGTCCCTTTTGTGGCTGCGGCTCTAGCTTCCAAAAGGCGCCATAAATATCAATCTCGAGCGCCGCTCACCCCATGCCAACGTTTGGATGTTCAAACATCAGGCTTGGTGGCGCTTGCTCGTAGCCCAGATGCTGCTCGATCCTTCCAGCAGCTCTTGCTGGATGGGCAAGTGCAAAAACGCTACAGAGCCTTGGTTTGCTGTCAGAGTGAGCAGCAACTTGAAGTGAACCAGCAGTTGATGCATAAAATATCTGATTCTGTCTTTGGAAAGCCGGCGCCTCGGCTTATTGCGCCAATGGATGCGGCAGTAGGTGGCAGCGGCCATAAGTGGCGAGATGCTAGAGCAACCATCCTTTCGATCAGAACAAGCCCAGGATGCAAGGAACTAACAGAGGTTGAGATTCAGCTTCACACGGGCCGAACCCATCAACTTCGAGCACAGCTGGCCGCAATTGGGTTTCCAATTGTGAATGATTGTCTTTATGGAAAGATGGCCAACTTTATCTGGAAGGATGCGTCTGACGACCAGCTTGCTGCAAGCCTCGTCGAATGTTGTGCGAAAGAGGCGAAGGAGGCATTGGAGTCGTCGCTTGCACTGCAGTGTAGCGACCTGAGCTTTCGAGATCAAAGATTTCAAGCTGGCGCTCCTTGGTGGAGAAAAGGTTTGCAAGAAGTTTGGCTCGAGATTTATCCTATTTGCTGAGAGTACACTTGGTACGCTAGGCTTCCAAACTGCTTGAAGATAGATCTCTGAGATCGTGACAGGATCCAGCATATTTGGATGACCCAGACCCAGAACTGAAAGACAGCCACTCGGCAGCAGACCGCTGCATCAATCTGTCTCTGACAACGTTCCATGTCCGCAAAACACTCGGAAGAATTACATCGCCAAAAAATCTGGGACGGTGTGGCTCCTTTCGTTCGCCTTCTTCCAAGGACATGGAATTGACAGAGGTAATGCCAGCAGTTCTGGCTACGGTGGTCAGCACCTTGAACGTCCATGGTTGCCAGATGTGTGTGCCACAATATCAATTTTATATACATTATACATCATTTTACTATTATAATCAAATCTAACAAAGGCAAAGCGCAAAAGTGTAAAGCGTGGAAAACGTGATACATCACTACCCCCTTAGCGTGCCTGACCCCCCCCGGGGGTCAAAATTGCAACTTACAATTTTCGATTTTCTGAAGATAGCATCCATATGCATTAATTATATAGCCCCCCCTCATCACAGGCGCTGTCACAAGCGCTGGGGCTGCGAATCGAGGCGAGTTCCAAGCCGCTGGCTTGCCTCAATGGTCAGTGCCTTAAAGAGTCTCAAAGTCGTAGAGCACAAACAGTATATATATATAGATTGGATTTATCATTATCACGAAAGGTAGCCCTTTAGGGGATACCTTGAGTTTGTCTTGCGAAGCAAGTGTTGGCGCGTCCGGGTCTAATAATTGATCATTCAATTCAACCCCCCCCCGCCCCGAATTGATTTTTCAATACAGACCCCCCCCCCCCCCCCCTTGGAATTTATTTTTCAATACCGGCCCCCCCCCCCCCCCCCCCCCTCTAAATTCAATTCTCTCCTGGAGAACGCGTTCGTGAGCCTCTCATGATTTCAGGATTTTTGAAACCCTCTTGAACATTCAGAAAGAGTGCATATGAAATTCTAATCACGAAAGGTGTCCCCCGAGGGGATACATACCTAGAATTTGTTTTGTGAAGCACGTCAATTCTCTTCTGGGGAACGTCTTCGTGAGCCTCTTATGGTTTCAGGATAGTTCAAATCCTATGATGCTCCGATTCAACGCTCACCGATGATCTGAGCCATGGGGCAAGTTTGTTTTCCTAAGAATCTTTTTGAACATTTCGAGAGCATATGTTTGAACATTTCATATGAACAATTATGAACATATATTTACGAAAGGTCGCCTCCGAGGGGATAAATCACCATGTCGAACATTGCATTTTTGTTCCTGCCTCTCGCGTTCTCTTCTCTTCCCGCTGTCCTACCTTTCGTGTCTCCCTCCTCTCAAGTTAGTTGCTGACTTCTTTTCTTTGTGCATCACATCGTTTTTTTCTGCGGTGGGTCCACGCGAAAGTTACAACGGCAACGGGCTGACTTTTTGGATCTTTTTGGTATAAGCAAGAGGCATAGTCGAGGCTGCAAATTCACAGCACTTCCAGCGGATTGGAGGACATTCTTTTCGCAGAGAAACTGGATGATGGAGAGAAGGTTGCAGGACGCCATTTTCACCGACCATCGTCAAATTGTGCTGCACGGATGGAGACTGTCCATTTGGACACGAGAACAACCTTTTAGACTTTAGTTCGACATATTTCAAACAAATCCTCGCGTTGTGGGCATAGTCGAGATGCTGCGTCATGTTGGTGGCCAGCCGTGTTCTTTGGTTCCAGAAAGTGGAAGAAAGCGAGTTGCCAGAATCATCGGGTGTAGTAATTAGTTGTGCGCACTGCAGGAGTACGAAGATGACCCCACGATTGCAGCAAGGCCCTGGTGCAATTGGTGTTCCACGATCTCTGTTGTCTTGCGACAGAACAAAACGAGGGAAATGCACCTGGACAGGTTGGCCCTCCGAAAAAAGCAGCAAAAGAAAAAAGAAGAACAGGAAGAAGCTAAAAGATCTGGCAGGATCCCCAGTCAGCAGAGGTTCACTGCAGAGGTTGGCATGCTTGCCCAAGGCTGGCTAGGTCTGCTGAACTGGATGGCCTGACAAGGAAGGCTGGACTGCCACATCAATGCCACGCAGATCCGTGTAGTAACACTGTGTTGAAAAAGGATGAAACATTGTATTTTTTAGATTCTTTAAGATCGTTTATATATTTTGTTTGACGTTCTGGTCGTCGTCGCAAGAATGTATAGGCATAGCATGGCATAGCTAAAGTTTGCTCCGTTGGTCAAGCAACTTTGGATCTGTGTAAAAAGAAAAATACAAAGATCATTGTTCGCTGAGGGCGACTGCAGGCAGAAAACACTTTCTTTCTCTCGTCTCTGCCAGGGGGATCGCAGGCGTTGAACAGATCCTGACTGAAATTGTGGTGCAGGATCGGGTTTGAAGTAGTTCGACCAATGTAGCCAGTGGTCATGCTCCAAAGATTTGCAACGTCACATTCTATTCTCCGATATTCTTCGCACCTGTACTTCACACCCCGCGACACTTCTTGGCGCATTGTGGGCCTTTAGAATTGCAACCACGTGCAACTTGATCCGAACACAATGTTGTTTGATTTGCATTCGGAGATGAGTGTCACGGGTGATGTCATCCAGTTTCATTCTGATTTCTCTCGCGCAAATTTAGCGCTTGCAGTGCCCAGAGTCTTTGGCGTTGATGTGCTGCATAAAAGTAAGCTTTCATTCAACTCTATCATTTAAAACTGAAGTGTTCTGAAGCTGGGGCTTCATTTGCATGGCGGAAGCACGCAGGCAAAACTGATTTGGCATATTTTTTGTGCCGAATGAAGCCCGCGAACACCGCCGCTAATGTCAATACTTTGAGTTTCGCTGCAAACGAGACCCCATTAGTGGTGTAGATGAAAATTGGTGCATGCGTGCTTCGGCCTGTTGCGTCATTTCGCGTCATTTGCACCCACTTCCATCCTTTATGCTTTTCATGGTCTCCAGTCTCAGCATAACCGACAAATATGACATCGTTGAGCTACATCTAAATCTAGCGAGATACTCATTGTCATTGTCGTCATAGCGCTAAATACGTGGCACAAGAATGAGATTAGAGTTTTCAATCAATCCTGCTTGCAGCATAGAAGGCATCTAGGAGGACGGCTTAAGCCTGAAGACATTTTGGAGAAGTCTACAGATGTCCAAGCCATGACGGTGGAAAGACGATGCCTTCGTGGAGGAGTTTCTTGGACATGTCTACCATTTACTGTACCATGTACATACAAGTTCTCTGCGGCATGCTGAACAGACTGCCTGTATGTTTCATTTTATGTCTGGTTTGTTAATGTTTAGTAAGGATAAATCACCCATCTAAAGTCCCGTAGTCATAGTCTTGACAATGGTTCTTTCTTGCACTTCGTTGCCCAGTTAGGAGAAGGAGAAGAGCGCCCAGCGCTGAGAGTGAAGAATCGCACTTCCAATTTGATCCACTTCTTTCAAAGAATCGTATCTCGGAGTAAGGACCTGTGTATCATATGTAGTACGGCCAGGAGCCCCCAGTACCGTCCTTGCTCCTAGTATCGATGCCCTTTGTTACCAGTAGCTTCTTGTAACTAGTAGCCCCTAGTATATAGCTTCTTGCCCCTAGTAGCGTCCTTGCTCCTAGTAGTAAATCCAACGGATCAAAAGTACTCCGATGATTTGCTTGCCGCATATGGTGTCGCTTGTGGCTGTTACGGCCGTTTGGCCAAGACTCCAAGATCTCAAGTCAAGACAGGTCTACCACATGCGTGGATGAGAAACACATTTTGAATACCAAGCAGCTCGCAAATCTCCTGCGAAGAACAGGCTGTGAGTCCAGTCATGGTGCTGTAGTTCTGCAAACACAGAAAGATGCTTGCTTTTCTATGTTTACTTATGCTTGAGATGAATTGAGTGCGACACAACACAAAATATGTTTGAGTTGCAATGAGTCAAGTAGAGTCAAACTGGCCATAGCCACCCGCGGTGTTACTTTCGATTTTGTATGATTTTGCATGTAGAGGAAGCAGTGGTGTCGATGGCTCGGGTAGTCCAGAAGAGGCCAACTACTCCGACTTGAGCTATGTTGCGAGATCAGAGATTTGCATTGCTTTCAGAATCTTTCACAGTGAGTTCTTGTCATCGAAATCGTCCAAGTATTGGCACGAATCGGCTACTCAGTAGCCGCTACTGTCATTCGGGGTCGGAGGTATAACTTATAAAAAAACAATAGGAGGAGGAGGAGGAGGGTAGTAGGTGGTTTGTCGTTCGTAGTTTTACTTTGGCATTGGGTAGTAACAGGAGGACTGATGGTGATAGTTGTAGACCACTCAGCTTGTGTAGTTTTTGCAATGCTTTTCATCGTTGACGACTTTCACGTTTGCATTTGGAATGGACATTTGAGCTCGGGAGCCTCAGCCCTTTAACACCGACCAGGATGACCAGGATGAGGATGGGCCGCCAATGATCAAAGCCAAAACGGACTTCGTGAGGACGACTGCTTTATAGCTGGGTGTTTTTGTGGGGAGGCTCACTTGTTCCAGGACAGAGCTCCTCAGGGAAACGGACGCTGGAAAGGTGCAAAGCTTAAACGGATTTTCACTCGTTTCAGTCGTTTCAACTCTCGTTGGTCTCAGTGCAAACCCCTTCTACTCTGCTGAGGCTGAAAACGACCGGGTGACCCAGCAGCAAAAGGACATGGCGACTTTGCTTCTTTCTGACTGGGCTGACTCCAAATCGGTGGCGGTCTTATGAAAAGCACATTGCTGCATTGATTCACATTGAGTGAGTACGTACGTTGTTCACAGCAGGCTGGGCAGGGGCAGAAAAGCCCAGCAAGCAAAGACGGTGGCAAGCAGCCTAGCTTGTGCTGCATGCTACATCCCACAAAATGAAGCTGCCATTCTAGCAACACAACAAAGTCGCCCTGTTGCGAGTGGCACGTGCTGTTGTCCAACTCAGAGAAATTGTATCCGTGCACCAGACACAAAGGACTGTCTTCTCAGCGCAAGAGATTGGATGGGCGACGCCGTTCCCGTGAGCTCGAGGTTCACATTCTCGTGAGCTTGCGGCGCTTGCGGCCACAAATGTTCCAACAAGTGCGTTCGATCATGTTTTCACTTCACTTGTATCACTTTCGTGTATCCCTGCAGCATCACACCATAAGGTGAAGCAGATGGTAGCAGATGGTTTGAACATTCGATCTAATCTAATTATAATATATATATATATAGTGTCAAGAATAATAAAGGAACATCGATTGAATCGACTGTTGACTTTGATATTACTTAAATATGTGCAAGCTCTTCTCATGAATTCCATTGGATTCGGTTTGCTATGGTTTGTTCCACGAATGCAACACAGCCCTTTGATTAGGCTTTGCTCTACTTCGATGGGGAGGTGAGGCCGCCCGAAGAACCACAGCTAGACGATGTTGCTGATGCCAGAGGCTTAGATGATCTTGATCTTGGCCTTTTAAGGCCCATTGAATCCATCAGTTGAACCAAGTACTGCAAAGCGATCTGTACAGAAATGAGCATTGTTATGTCTCCATGTTTGGTTTTACAGTTTCCCAATGCGGTCTACGATGCACTATGTACTTGCCACTTCAAAAGTGAGAGCATCTTTGAACCACGAAATCAACTCCAAAGACGTGCAACGCAAACCAATTGCTGTGTTCGCGTGGGACCGTTGAAGGTGTTGATGCTGGATGCACCCATGTTAAAGAGCCCGAGGGTCAAGATACAATCCTTGCACAAGCTTCACGATTCGTTCCAGAGTCCACCATCTTAGTACATGCTGGAGTGTTTAACAGGAAGCCGCACAATGACCAAATGGTTGAAATCTCTTTCACCACCGGACTGTACTGCGCCATACTGCGCTTAAAATCGATATATAGACACAGAACTAGAATTGTTACAATATCATATAGACACATCACATCCTGATACTGATTCTTGTGTCGTTCCGACTTTCAACATCACCTGTTTGTTGGCTTTGCGGCAGTATATAAGTTTTCACGACAAGAGCTCAGGTGCAGGTCTCCCAAGAAGAACGGTACTGGCAGGACATGTGGCACATGGCCAAAGCCACGTTGCTTGTCAGCATCGCTCATAATCATAGCGATCCTTTTGGATCCTTTTGTTAGGGTTCTTTGTGTTACAGTATCCTTTTCTAGATTCTGTTGTATTTTAAAGTCTGCCTACTTAATTAAGGGAGTAAGCTACTAGCAATAGGAAACTTCTGGCTAGGACACAGCAGCATAGCTCACGCTTCTTCAAGGAAGCTCCTGGGCGGGCGGGAGCTTCCTCGAAGAAGCGTGGGTCTTGGAATTTTAGGGAAACTTAACTTGTTAGGCTTTCGCGTGTGTGAAGCTTGCCAGGCAATTCCCCAAAGCCCATGTGCGTGAAGTAGAGCATATCATGATTTTCCATGAATTTCGCGTCGAGTCGCACAAGATCTCCAGAGTGTATGTTCGGAAAGTCCTTTGGAGTGCTGCGTCCCTCATTGCCTTGTCGCGGCACTCAGTGCCTCTCTATGCCTCTCCTGGTCTGAGGTACAAGGACGCAGAGGCCAAGGGCATGTGGGCCACACGAGGTAGCAGCTGGAATAGTGAGTCCAGGTGGCAGATGCCTTCGAGAAGGAGCTGCCCGTTGGCCCGCTCGAAGTTGATGGACCAGGTGCCAAGCGCAAGACAGGCATGTAATGGCATGCATGCATTCAGCAGCACAGATTCATACTTCGTTGATCAGATTGACAAGATGAGGTCAAGCGCAGCGTTCCATCTTTGATTGGAAACATACCAGAAACGGCTGGACGAGGACAAACAAGAAGCAGGTTCGTTTGCACAGGATCATAGGTTTTGTTGGCCACCGCTGCCACAACCCTGGTATATAAATAGAAGTTTTGACGAGTTTGGTTGGCGGGGCCAAATGAATATGCTATATTGGCAACCAGGCAGAAACCAAACATTTGAAGCTCGCACTCTATCTTTGTTTGACTTGCTGTAAGAGTACAATGATAACATTGCGCCCAAACTCAAGAACATCTCAAGCAATAGAATCGTAAGAGCAGAGAAGATTTATTCACATGGTGAATCGACTACCATGGTGCAAACTTATCATGCGATAATATCTCCGAAAGACCATCTGGTCAAAATTGCACGCATACTCGGACTAAGGCAAGGACAAGCAAGCACAACAATAACTTGTTCGGGGATATGAGTCATAGGCAGAATATAACATTGCTGGTGAAATCTGGTGAAGGTACCAGACACACAGCGTGATAAGACAGCCGACCTGGTGAAAGCCAAAGGTGGTTGTCAGGGCTGATGCATTGGTGACACCTCGGCTCTGGTAACCACATTCTTTCATTTCTGTCAACCAGGGTTCTTCTAGGGCCTAGGGGGAAGGCCCCGCCCTTGCCCAGGATCAAGGACGTGCGCAAAGCATACCTGCTTGCGCATAACAGTCTCAAAATATCTCAACATGCTTTCCAGACACAATGCTCAACTTTGTGTGAGGCTACTGAGCGCCAGAGCTTCAGCGAGAGCGCAAACCTGCGAAAAGCATGTTTGGCGTTGACATTATGAAGTATTACAGATTGCGCTTGATAGCAAATTGAGGCATTTGCCTCAAAAATTGAATTTATATATATTGTCTATTCCCCTGACGGGGTTCCTGCACGCAGGCGTAGCTTGCATTTTTGCAGACACGTAGTCCTAAAGGGATTCACGGGTTTGGCAGACGAGTCTTCGAGGCTTGGCATGTCAGATTATGGGAGGCCTCCTGATTGAACTTGAAGTCCCGCGGGTTGCGCCACATTTGTGGTTCTAGTCTCAAAGGATTCAAAAGGAACACATACTATTTGCTACCATGGGCACGGAAGGGTGTGTGGAGCAGCCCCCTCGTGAGGGTTCGTACAGAAGCTTGGAAGCCGAGACAGCATGACAGGATACAGTCTTCAAGCCGGGTCCAATTGTTTAATCGAGACGACAGATACGCCGATGGCGATCGAGAGGCTTCACTCTTGCATGCTTGATCAAAAAGGACGCTACTAGGGGCTCCTGGCATCGCTACTATAGGAGCAAGGACGCTACTAGGGGCTCCTGGCCGTACTAGGAACAAGGACGCTACTAGGAGCATCAAAAAGGACGATTTGGGCATGCTTTTCGCTGCTCCTCTCTGGCCCCTTGACGATGGCTCCCAATTCTTGACTTCGCTGAATCATCGGAGTTATGATATGGTGTTGGACCGGAGCACCCAATAGAATACGCAACAGTAAGTAGTGTGCACATAGAATATGTTTTTTTCAGCATCCAAAAAAGGTAATTCCTGAATCACTAAAACCTGTGCAGATAGAATATGGGCGATTTTGTTAATGATGTTTATGGTTGTTTCATATTCGAGGTGTGTGAAGACATGCGAAGACATAGGAAGGACTGAGAATCCAACTATTTTCACCAAGCCACTTGCAAAGTGATAGAGGGGTGACTACACAAAAACCTATGTTTGACTTTTCACTGATTGGTTGGTCAAAAGCAAATACTTAAGCATCACACACTATAATACGTATACAGTAATATACATATCATATCACATTCTATCTACTTCCCTATTCATTTTCTAAGCTCATATTCTATCTGTGGCTAGGCCGGAATTTTTGTCAAGCAGCACATAGAATATGTGACTCATTAGCTTTTGAGATTTGCATCATATTCTATCCGGTGCGCCAACACTATACACAATTATACACATAGTAGCCAAACATCACGAATTGAGTTCAATCTTGTACATGGTGGATGGTGTACGAATTGTACGATCCTTATTGTCAATGAAATGGTGGAAAGGAGCATTCTCGGCCTTGAATGCTATTTGTAATTTATGAAGCGGCGCGGAAGAGAAATCTTGTTGCGCTAGTTGCTCGCTACAATGTGTTTCCATGTCCACCAGCACTTTATTGGAAATGGCATCACGAGCTCACAGTCAGTGGTTGCAAACATAGCTTGTCCTGTGTGGGCAAGGACAGGCAGGAGTCTGAAGTCTTGCATTACCACAAGCAAACTTGTCCTTTGCATTTCCAAGAGCTTGTCTTTTCTATCGAGAAAACACACCCTCAGGAATGCAAAGGTAAATTCAGGCAGATATACGCTAGGATTCTGCTAGCATGGCACTAACAGAAGATGCACGAAGTGTGTCGCAATAGGACGTGTAGTTCTTCAGGGTTCAAGCGGCCATGCAGGTGACATTCAGGGGCCGCGTGATGCTGCATGAAAGATCATCTTCATGGAACATCCGCGCTAGCGCCGTGCAAAATTTGCAACCAAACGACAAATGTAACCATTGCAACCATGGATGTAGATCATGTTGAACTCCTGAAGCGCCACGCGTGGGTTTCTGAAATACTCTGATATCACAAACCTTTCGGGAAAGAGCATTCAGTCAACCGAAGAAATGTTCAGTTTTCTGCGCCCACATCCACTTCAGAGAAAAAAGGTCAAAGCAGCTCAACGGCGCAACACGTCCAAAACTTGCTTGTCACATTAACGTCACGAGATTCTTCCACATTGTCCGAAAGTAACCAAAAGATATTCATTGTCCGATGCAGCGACATCGTGCCCAGGACTCACAAGTACTAGACAAACGCGAGGAAGAATTTCATTTGCGAACCAAATCGTGAGTCAATGGAACCTGAGCCTTTACAACCCCGTGCCGCAAAGTGGCCGAGTAGCAACTCCACAACACATTGGTGTAACGCATGTGAAACTGATGAAACACATTTTAGAGTGTTTAGGCGCGCAGTCCTCGTTGTATCATGTTGTATCATTGAATCCAAGGGTTCAACCCATGGATTTGGGATGATTGGTTGATTTTTGCCTCCAATCTTTGCACGTCGCTGCTGTATGGACCTTTCATGAAAGGTGCTTGCACACCAGATATATTTGCACTTACTGCACACCTGTAACTTGCTGCAGACTTGGATACGGTAATTACTGTACTTTGACTCTAAGCAATCACAAGCACACAGACAGCCATGGCGGGCACGGCGCAGCAAAAACCGCTCCGTAGAGGAGTTTCTTGCCTCTGATTAGAACTATGGCTGATTTAAGGTTGAACAAACTTCTACTTGATTCTACTTGGAGGTTGAATGCAATGATTCATGCCTTATTGCACTGAACAGATGCTTTACCGGTCTTGCATGATCTTGCAGAAACGAGCTTTATAGTGTAGGGCTACCCGACTAATTGGCAATTGCTGGAAGTTATCCGTGGACCGACGCGGATTCGTCCGCACGAGCCGAGCTCAGGCGACCGCACGTTTGAGTTCATCTCGCACTGGGAAAGGAGGCAAGGCCTTGAAGCAGCAACATGCTAGAGCTGCTAGAGTGATCCATTAGTAGGATGGAGGCCATCGCTATTAGGTTGGAGGCCATCGCTACTAGGTTGGAGGCCATCGCTACTAGGTTGGAGGCCATCGCTAGTAGGCTGGAGGCCATGGCTTCT